TTTATGTGATCACCTGATGTAAAGTGGTCACTTTGGCATTGGTCTGGTCCTTGTGCACATTTTTTGACCCTTTGGTCGAGCTATGTTCTTTTTCCCTTTGTTTTTCTAGAGCACTTTTATTTAGGTAAACTTCATGCATTCTACTATGCAGTATGAAGTTTCAAGAGGCAAGAGTTCCTAGTCCATTTTTTAAATGCGTTCTAAATTTTTATTTAACTTGCATTAAAATCGAGTTATTTATCGATAAGGTTAATTTATTCGAAAAACGTGCGCTTAAATCCATAAACGAAGAAAAAAGAGAATTACTATGTCATACTCACTTGATAAAAATGATTCAGCAAAGCATATTTTATAATTTTTTTCAAGCATTTTTAAAGTTTTTGTCATGTTTTGTTTATTCTTTGCAAGCTAGCACTGAAAGGCCTTAGTCGAGTCCCACAATTTTCAAGCTGCGCAACAGGATCTCGATAAAGTTTTTGCTGGACGCAGATAATTAAACGAAAATAATTTGACATATTCTATCTTTTTATCTTTGGAAATCCTATTGACTATGTTTACTTTATTTTTTATTTTTTAAAATTTTTTTTGCATTTCCATGCTTTAAATGCCTTTGTAAATTTTCCTCCCAAGATTTTAACACCTTTAATATGAATGCGTTTGGACTTTTTTTATTTTAAGGCGCCCTTAGAATTAAAGCCTTTTTCTTTGGTTTTTATTAATAATCAAATGCACAACGAATCAATTATTTGTCTAATTTAGCCACATATATGCGCTTAAATTAGGTTTTCGTCTTCAAATTTGCTGATTGTTTTTCTAATCATTCATATATGTTTTGAGCGCATTTGCACTTGATCTTGCTCAAAATAGTTATACTGCTGGCAATTTTGGTATAAGGATCATTTTGCTACGATCCTTTGCTTCGTTTATGTTTGAATGTTGCATTATTACGTTGGTGGAGTGCATAGTGCTGTTTTTCACCAGAACATTTTTTCACTCTGCTGATTGAGCTTGCTGAAACATTATTTTCCTTTCAAATGCTAATGCTTGGCAGATTCGATTTTATATTATTACAATAAATCATAGATTACAAGCATTTTCCTCCTCTGGAAAGCGGATTAATTTAGCATGGAAACTATAAAGAATCGTGTTGGCTTCATTCGCAATCCAGTCTCGAACACCAAATCTCCACGTAGCCGTCCTCCTCCCCAGTCTTCAATGAAACATAGCGCTACCTGTGAATTTACCAACTCAACACCAGTCAATGCTTCTCTCAAATCCTCTCCTTCGGTTGGAAATTTATCATCCGGTTTAAAATCCCCTTACGATCTCCTCCTGGAACAAATTAAAAGGCGCGGCGACTTGGAAACATCCATCACACCATCAGGACGACAGGCTCAGTCCGAAAATCTCACCATTGTCGGCAGATACACATTACATGAGGTTCTGGGCAAGGGATCTTTCTCCAAGGTCCAATTGGCAACACATCAGCTTACAAAAGGCAAGCTTCCTCTGCGGATTCTCACCAACAAACCCTTTGTTTAGCAAAGAAATAAGTCGCAGAGGATAGGTGAAACCCACTTTCAAAGTTAAGGTCCCTATCCCTGGTTAATTATTGAATTCATGTCTTTTCCTTTAAAATAAACTATAGATGGTAGTCCTTAAAATATGATAAAATTTATCCGGTTAGCTGGACTGTTTACAAGTCAGTCTTATTTTTTCTTCAAAATGCTTAACATAGTTATCAACATAAGAAAATTTGAATGTTAAAAATTAGAGCAAGTGGAGCAGTGCAAATGTTGCGAGGATGGATGAGAACAACAGTATCACTCTCTTCTCTCTCTTCCTCCCACCCAACCCTTTTCCCATTCGAAGGGATTGCGGCACAAGGCCGCCTCTGTTTGGCGATGCAAAGCGCATTGCGTATGACATCATTTTCTGTAACACGACCTAATGGTCCATAACATGCGTTGCAAAATTTTTGTCCTCTTTTTCCCTGTGTCATTTGCATTTTTTCCCATCGCTGCTCGAGCGATGAGCATTAGCTTCCGTACAAACGCCGAAGTGGTGCCCTGAAGTGGATGGCACATAAAAAGGGGATGTATAGGAGGCAAAAATGCACGATTTATGAGGCTAGAATCTGCCACTATATGATCGCCACCCGTCTGGACTGAGGAGGAGTTTGAGTGATTTTGGATATCAGGCGATCGCCCTACAAGTGGCACTTTCTAGCGCACCACTTTATAGACACTTGGAAAAGGGGTAGCAATAGTCGCTAACAAGTGTTTACAACATTGTATTGTGAGGAGCATTAATAATGCCACTTTTATGACTGCTAAGAGTCAAAAAATGGCTTGTGTTTGGGACTAAAGTGTAAAAACTAACCAAAATGTTTACTTGGCTACACAAAAAGGGGAGAAGAATTCGGAGCTTCATTGTTCCCGACAACCAGTGCATTGACTCTTGCCTGTCTGACATGGAAGATTGTGTACATCCAGTTGAATTTAGCATCCGATTGAAGGGTTGGTGGGCTCTGCCTGCGGCTGGATTCACAATGCTAATTTCTCTTTTTTTGTATTCAATACGCACCAATTTGGCGCGATTAACATTGCTTTTGTACTGCCAGGCAAGCGAAATCCAAAGTGCCGCGTCCATTTATGGCTCTCTCGTACAGCACGAATTGGCGTCCATCAGTGTTGGATAAGCTGTAGACCCTGGCAAAAGCCTCCAATCATCCCCCCTTTCTCACTCATTCGCTCAGAGTGCGCATATGTTTCCGCTGTTCTGTTAACTTTAAGGCGCCGCAATGGGGGACCGATCGGCTCAATCCTGTCTCTTCCTTTGTTTAAGCACTTTCATCGAGTGTTGGGTTGAAGCGTCGTCCCAGAAGCCGTAGCAATGGATACGCTGACCGCCACAATTAATGCCACTCCTTAGCCCTTCAACTGGTCTGTGTGAGTATTTGGCAAGTGGCAACCATTCCTCCCTAATTTTAGCTCACCAGAAGGATTTTTGGCCTCCTTCCGTTTTATATCTGTAATAAAAGGCTCCTCCTACCCACAAAACTTCGAGGTTTGAGGCATGCAAAAACTTCCTCCCTTCCTTTCCTCGTTCCTTCGTTCCTTTCCTCCATCCTAATTTATGTGGAGAAGGGAATGGGGATTGTGAAAGTGCAGGCCTCCTTCTGCCCACGTCAATGCGTTTGGTTAGTGGGGCTAAGGAATGGGAGGTATGTGGAGACTTGTCTTCATTATCACCAATAATAAAATGGGGAGGAGGACCGAGGAGGTGGACTTTAACTGTCCTCCTGGCGCCGTGCTGTGGGCGTCTACCCAGACCTGATGGTGCACCCCTCTCTCTCTGCTGTACAGCTCTGCCACTGCCTCCGCTCCCGCCATTCATGTCTCAAAGCTGCCTTCTCGTGACTTCTAAGCAAATTACCTTCTCATTTAGTGAAGCAGAACTGCTAAACGCGGTCTTCTAGCCCATTTATCAACTCTCCTATCCACTTAAAGGCAGTTTTAGCTGAGGAGGAAGGAAGGTATTTAGTTTTCACCTGGAGCCATAATTAAAGGTCAGTGATTGTGCAGTTCAGAAAGCCCTTTTGCTCCTCTTAAGGGGTTACCATTTACTGAACATGTCATGAGAAGTTCGCTGCAACCTGACGCTGGGGAGTACAAAATTAAGCTTGCCTTTTCACCTTGGTGTTGCAATTTTCTCTCCCCCTCCACCTCCTCTATCAACAACCCCAAGTCGCTATTTTAATTACATGAGGATTATTGTTTAGGGCGTTTCAAATTTTGCCCTTCAATGTGAACACATAACATTAGCTTTTACCGGAGGGCAGTGATACTTTAAGTGCTTTACTAAATGGCTATAGTTCCTACGGGTGATGGAAAAAGCGGATGTCTGGTGAATTATTTTTCCGCCAAAAGTGCAGTGAAGCGGTGGCGTGAGCTCTCAACTGCCTTCACACATCGTAAAAACGTGTTGGTGATGGCCTAAATGAATGCGGAGTTGCGAGTTGCAGTGTTAAGAGACAACCCTCCTCCGCTCTTTCCCATTCCTACCCCCACCCATACCTTCCTGTCTTAAGTGATCACGAGGCCAAAATAGAGAGGAGGACAAACACTCACATCACTGAGCGCCCTCCTTGGTCAGCATCTCGTATTGGCCTGCAAGTCACTTTTCTGCGGCTCAACTTGCAGTCTTGAAAAGGTCGTGCTCATCAGATTCGATATCGTACCTAATCGAGACTCAAACCGTCCGTTCTCCTGCATTTTGTAAAGGCATTACTAGTCAACTTGGTTTCTCCGAATAGTTTGGTAGTAGCCTCCCTGCAGAAGAGAGGACTGGCAGGAGTGCCCTCCTTTTTGAAACCATTAAATTTGCTAATGGAACTGCAAAGCGTGTGTGTGTGTGTGTTTATTTTTTTTCCTTTAAAATCGGGCTTCCTTGGGCACTCCAAAAGTCCAGGCCAGAGTGCGCATTGTCAACGTGCCAAAGGGTGGAAGGCCATTGGCGCTAACTGATCATCCGAAAGTGGTGCAGTTGCGCACACCTAAGCACGACACTGACGAGAATCAAGACGACCATTCAAATGCACTCCCTCACTCTCTCAGTGCATTCGCTAAGGCGAGGAAGAAGAAGCAATACACATTTTTTCGCCTTAGTCTCCCCTCCTTTTGCCCACAAATGCATTAGCGTGAGGGCGGTGTCGGATATTTGTCTTGATTAGCGTCGGCCACCAAAATTAATTGACCAGTCCGTACCACAATAGAAGGCATCGTAGCTGTCAGTGCGGCCAATACACCCTTAATTTGGGAGTCAATTGCCATCAGTAATGTGGATTAAGTGATGGGGATGAAATCGTCCACCCAACAGTCCATTTCTTCCACCCAGTTTGCCGTTTTACTGCATTTTGATTGGAGGTGAACGGCATATTGATGTGCATCTCTGTCTGTCCTTCTCTGAGTATCCAAAACTTGGTACTCCCCAAATGTCCTCTCCCACATCATAATCGAGAAGAGAAGGCTTTTTTGATACACGAGACCAAAAAAGTTGTTAATACAGTGGAGAAACAGAATCTAATGCTGTGAGGATGGGCAAGGCATTCCTCCACCTTTTTGCGGAAGAACAAAAACACAGACGTTAAGGGAGATGACAGCTCCACCTGTTTTACACGTATGAGACACTGCGGATCACAACTTAATCCAACTTTGGTCGAAGTGGCGCGCCTACGGGTGGAACTGCGGCCTTTGAGGCGAAGTTGGAGGTAGATGAAGGAGAAGCGAACTGAATCCTTTTACATCCTTCAGAGTTGGCTCCTGGATTCCAGCAATGCACAGCATGAAGGAGGTTGAAATTTAAACTGTTAGACGTGGTTGTTGGAAGTCACCACTCCTACAAGTAGTTGAATGGGAGGAACCGAAACGATTTCTCCTAGAATTGTCTTTCTTTTAGAAAAGGTGGCTATAAAGGTGATTGATAAAACCAAAACCGATGCTGCTGCTCGACGTCTCATCTTTCGGGAGATGACAGTGCTTGACAAACTTCACCATCCCAACATCATTCGACTTTATGAGGTGAGTGGTCTGCTCAATCCTAACTTTCACAGTTTTACGGCTCATAATGCTCGTCTCCAAGGTAAACGCGTAGCCTCCATCTTCTTTCACGACATTTTAAGCACCTTTATAAGTCCACCTCCATCTCTCGCATTCACTTTAATGAGTCTGTCATAACGTCGAGAGATCTACGAGGCGCCTAAACTTTGTCTTGTTGTCCCTAGCCATTGAGTGTCCTCCGGGGATTTGATCCTCCTGTGGATGTGAACCCCTTGCACAGGCGTCACTGTCCACAGACCTTGTCGATCAAGTCTGGCGTTTTGAAGAAAAGTATTTAATTGACGTTTACAGGTGATTGAAAACTTGACTCGACTGAACATTGTCATGGAGTACGCTGCAGGAGGGGATATGGAAACGAGGATCCAAAAGAAGGGCGCATTTACGGATCCTGAGGGCAAAATTATCTTTGCTCAGCTCGTTTCTGCCATCAGACACATGGTAAGGGATGATGGCCTCTCATCCTCCATCAAATCATGCACCATGATGGCATTGACAGGCAAATTGGTAACCCTTCAGCACGACAACAACATAGTCCATCGAGACATCAAGGCGGAGAATGTTTTCTTTGCGGTGCGATCACCCATAGTGGACCCGGAAATGAAGGAGACCAACACCAACAACCTGAGTAATGCAACTGCAGCAGCATCAACAACACCAACAACAACAAGAGCGAACAATGTGGCAGCACCTCCTTCCGTGAGTCTCTTTCAGACTCGTAAAGCAGGCCACAAGGTTCGTGCTACGCACTCGAGAATAAGTTCGGACGATCGCAGCACAGGTAATGTTGACACTCTCATTCAAAACAACCTCTCAAAAATGCGTGAATAAATTCACTTTTCTTTTGTTGACGTTGTTATTGTTGTTGTTGTTGTTGGCAGGCCAAGGACACGGTCAAACACTCGCCTACTCGCCGGATTTCTACCGAGTCAAAATCGGTGATTTCGGATTTAGCAAGACAATCACCAATGCTGATCAACACCTCACAACATTTTGCGGTTCGCCACCATATGCCGCTCCGGAGCTCTTTAGTTCCGCCTCGTAAGGACACCTCGCACCATACAACAATGCCTTAACAGTCTTTAAATTTACATGTCCTCACGTAGTTGACAATCTGAAGCCTCTTCCAGAGTCGAGAGTGAGAAGCAAGACGAGAGGCAAAGTCCACTTTGCATGTTAGTCGACCTTCCTAAAGTCCATAAAGCAAGCCTAATTAGCATGGCAATAGCAGGGAGGAGGAAAGAAAAGACCTTTTCTAA